TGTACGGTGAATTTAATTGTTGAACTCTGCATTTGCATAGGTATACACCTATAAGATATACACCTGTAAGATATATACCTATAAGATGGGTATATACCTATAAGACAGGTACATCCCACATGGTATCTTAACTGATAATTAAGTTGATTCTTATCTGCCATAAGTTGATACTTATCTGCCACTTACACGTTTGTTTTAAGTTACTAATAAATTACAGATGGTGTCATTAAAACCGCTTGAAACCTAAGACATTAGGACGAATGTTAGCGATTTTTTCTTTCATCTTTTCATTATCAGATGATGAAAAATGGAGATAGTTGAATGCGAAGAGTGTTATCTACTTGGGTATATTATTTGTTTGCACTGTAGCCATGTTTTTTGTGCCACATATTAGAATCGACTCTCGGATAGTGTCGAATGTGAAGCTAAACAAGTGATTGATAAAGCGAATAAGACATGTATTAAGTTTAGAGAGACATCGATCTTGATAATAAATATCACGATATTATTGATGATTGAAAAGCAGATAGGCTGAAAAAAATCGAATCAATTCACAATAAACACTCGGAAAAAATTGGCGAGATGTTTGATAAATTCGAATAGCAAAAACTAACGAATAAGTTGTTTTACACTGTTCAAGATAAGTCATCGGTTTTAACTGGGTTATCTATTGTATGATGCTCAGGACATATTCAAAAAAGCTGACGGTATGTCATGGTAAAGCGGTGTTTGTTTTGGCGAATTGAATAAGACGAAAAACAGTCATGTTATCAGAAACTATCGTACACTGGATTCATATGAAATTGAGAAGGTGCATTTGGAGGACGGTGCCATGCTTCTCGATTTGTGATGTCCATTTGTTGTTCTTGTTTGAACAGTTGTTGTGCAGTTTTTGACATCCTTTTCTTATAAAAACGGCCAATTGTTGGATGTTGTTTTCTAATTCTTTCCTCTGCTTGATGTAATTCTTCAATAAGTTTATATTTGTTGTATAAATCTCTAAGCAAATTATATTTTGGTAATTGAACATAAATACTATTCATTTGCATAAAATGATTTCCTGGCTGATTACTTTGATTTGTTTGAACTAAAGAATGATAACGACTGTCTTCTTCATCTAATTGTTTATCCAATCGATCTCTATCAGATCTCAGAGTAACTATAGAAAGTAATTCCAATACTGTGCCAAGTCTATGGTATAAAAGACCAATGATTTGTAATAGAATTTGCACTAAATAAAAGAACAATAGGATTAATGTTAAATAATCAACACGTAAATATCTATCACCAAGATAAATTTTAATTTGAAATTCTACTTTATCAGAAATAACAGCAATTTGAAATTGTGCTATAACAAGTATCGAGGTTATCAGTGTTGAACCAATAGGTGAACATCGATACAAGATGTCCGGAAAAAACAGGCATTTTCTGACCCACTGGTTTGGTCTCAATGTCTAAGAGAACAAAAATAAGTTTTTTAATTAACAAATTTTCGAAAGTAAGTGTAATGCGTCTAATGCTCTGGATCAGCTATTCAATTGGTTCAACCTTTGTCAGCATTCTCTTCAATGTATGATTGGTATGCCATCAACAACAACGAATTATATGTGATACAACAATTCTTTTAACGTAAAAGAACTGTTACTCAAGAACTGGTCAGGGTATACGTCACAAGTTTTAGTCGAACATAAAGGCTTGTTCTGAAAGTTTCCGAATACACATCACACGGAGCATATTTGGAAAATTGTAAAAGTATGAGAGAGAGTTAATCTTTATCGTAGGACAAGTGCCGTTTGGTGTGCTAAAAATGTTTACTCCCCATGATGCTACAAGGCGGATATTTTTCGACTCTTTTCATCCCAAAACCGGATGTCCGCGATGGATGGCTTCTAACTATTCCATTACGAAATTCTGTTAATTTGAAATGAGTTTTCTTTTTTGTTGCATCATCAAGTTTAATTGGCTCCAGATATTTTTCAATAAGCTCTAACCAGAAATTCCAATCAGCTTCACTTAATTGACATTCAATTACTCTATCTTCATTATTAACCAATTGTCGATTACAAAAAACTTGATCATCAATTGAACACCATCCCATTACAGATTTCTTTTTTTCATCATGAAGTATCTTTTCAGCTTCCAAATTTTCAGCATTTTCTTTTTCATCAAGTTTCTCTTGAATAATTTTAGCTGTTGTTGCATTAACATTACTTTCATTTGATAGATTCGGATTTGATCTCAATTCTAAATTATAATAGATATTATGTTACCATCAATGTTTTCGAACTTCATAAAAAAGGATAGTGTTCTCGGCTCAGAAAAACTTGCTAGCATTGACTTAGTGATGGGTCTGTAAACGTCTCTATAAGTTATTAAATCGCGTGTAACAGGTCATTCAGCGGACTTGACATCACAGAAACACTTTTTTTTAACAATTTTGACTTAATCAAATTTTTTAAGAAATTTAAGTTCAAAAACTGCCTTTTATGCACTTGAGTAAGTGATTTTCTCTAGCTTCTGAGTAACTCAGTAACTCAGTTACTCAGAAAAAAATTTTAGTCAAAAATGCGTTACTCAATAAAAAATCTTTAGTTACTCAGCAGGCTTGCCACCCTCCACCAAAACTACTATCGAAAACATCGTTCAATTCGACCGTGTGGGATTGCATAGCACTGAGAAAGTTAAGCAATTTACACAATTCAACTGAAAAACTTCCCTAAATGAATGACTTGAGATAAGTTTTGTATAATCTAAGTCTCAGCCAAAGAAGAACTTGGACAGCCTAACATTTTTTGGATATTTTTTAAAAATAAGCAAAAAGCTGTGAAATTTTCAAAAATAAGGAAAGGCGACTATGACTTTCATGGTAATTTTTGACCCCAGAACGGGATATATATAGGTTTGTACAGGA